CCATGGGACAGCCGCGCCGGCCCGCCAGCTCCGCCGCGCGCGGGAGCCTGCAGGTAGGCAGCGCGGCCGGGTGGCGAGCGCGTCCCGGGCAACTTCATGGGGGAAGGTGCCTGCGCGGGGCGTTGCGTGGGGGGACCCGGGCTCTTCGTGCGGGGCAAGGGGCTGGGCAAATGGCCCCCTCCCCTGCCAAACTTTCCGTGCCCCCGCCGAGGGGAAGAGCCATGCATCGGGGGGCTCCCGGGACCTGGCGGGGTTGGATGTGTGGTGCTGCTGATTGCATGCGGGGGGGGGGGTGCATCCCATGGGCTCGGGCTGTGATCCTCCAGCCAGGTAGATCTGCTGTCTGCCCCCCTGTGCCTGGTGCATAGGGGTGGCTGCTGATTGCATGTGGGGGCATCCCATGGGTTGGGGGCTGTGATGCTCCAGCGAGGCAGATTTGCTGTCCACCTTGTGCATAGGGCATAGGGGTGGGTGCTGATTGAAGGGGGAGGGGTGCATCCCATGGGTTGGGGGTTGTGGAGGGGATGCTCCAGCCAGGCAGACCTGCTGTCTAACCCCCTGTGCCTAGTGCATAGGGGTGGCTGCTGATGGCATAGGGAAGGGGGTTGGGGTGCATCCCATATGCTGGGGGCTGTGATGCTCCAGCCAGGAGGATCTGCTGTCTAAGCCCCTGTGCCTGGTGCAGAGGGGTGGCTGCTGCTTGCGTGGGGAGGGGCATTGGGGTGCACCCCAGGTGCTGGGGGCTGTGGAACGGATGCTCCAGCCAGCGGGATCTGCTGCCTAACCCTGTGTTTTCTTTCCGCCCCCTCCACGCAGCATTTATTCCTCGTCCTGCTCTTCACCGGCCCCTTCAACTGCTTTGCCAGCTACAGCCGCGCCACTGAGCTCTTCTACAGCCTCAATGAGGGGCTGCCGGCCGGAGTGCTCATCGGAAGCCTGGCAAGGGACCTGCAGCTGCCTGGCTGGGCAGCAGAGGAGGAGATGGGGGCAGCACTAGCAATAGCCCAGGGGCCGGCGCTGAGCTTCAGCCTGGCATCGCAGGGGCTGGGTGGCCAGTATGTGAGCCTGGACAACCGCTCGGGGGAGCTGCACACGTCAACACTGGAAATCGACCGCGAGGTGCTGTGTGCAGAAAACGGTGCCGGCACCTCGCCACCCGCGCCCTCACCTGAGGCATGCCTGCTGCTGCTGGATGTGCTGGTGCTGCCCCAGGAGTACTTCCGCCTGGTGAAGGTGAAGATTGCCATCCGCGATGTCAATGACAATGCCCCGCGCTTCCCCGTGCCCCACATCCGCCTCTGGGTGCCTGAGAACGCACCGGTCAACACACGCCTGGCCATCGAGCACCCAGCCCTGGACCCTGATGTGGGCACCAACGGTGTCCAGACCTACCGCCTGCGGGACGACTATGGGGTCTTCACGCTGGACGTGGAGGAGAATGAGAGTGGGGAGAGGACCCCCTACCTCATTGTCATGGGTGCCTTGGACAGGGAGGCCAGGGGCGAGTACGTCACCCTCATCTTCGCAGAGGATGGGGGCACTCCTCCGCTGGTTGGCAGTGCCACCCTCACCGTTGGCATCAGTGACGTCAATGACAACTGCCCCCAGTTCGGTGAGTCCCAGCTCAACGTCACCCTATGTGGGAATTCCAGCACTGGGGCCCGCGTGGCCACTGTCCATGCTCTGGATGCGGACTTGGGTTCCAATGCCCAGATCACCTACTCCTACAGCCAGAAGGTCCCACAGCCTTCCAAAGACTTGTTCCACCTGGATGAAAGCAAAGGCATTGTTGAACTCTCCAGGAAGATTGATGGTGATACTCCCCGGCTCCACCGGTTGATCATTTTGGCCAACGGTCCTGGGTGCATCCCTGCTGTGATCACTGTCCTAGTGTCCATCATCAAAGTCATGATGAGACCTCCAGAGGTGGTCCCTCGTTTCATAGCTAATGAAGTAGACGGGGTAGTTTACTTGAAAGAATTGGAGCCTGTAAACACTCCAATTGCATTTTTTACCATAAAAGACCCAGATGAAAAATACAAAGTTGATTGCTACTTAGATGGTGATGGGCCATTCAGATTGACGCCATATAAACCGTACAATAATGAATATCTGTTAGAGACTACAAAGCCTTTGGACTATGAGGTACAGCAGCTCTATGAAATATCAGTGGTTGCATGGAACTCAGAGGGATTTCACGTCAACAAAATAATTAAAGTGCAAGTTCTGGATGATAATGACAACTCACCAGTTTTCTCTCAACAATTAATAGAATTATCCATTGAGGAAAACAATGTCCCCAATGCTTTCTTGGCCAAATTGCATGCAACAGATGCTGACAGTGGAGAGAGAGGGAAAGTGTCCTATTATCTAGGGCCTGATGCTCCATCCTATTTTGCTTTAGATAAAACCACTGGAGTTCTTACAGTTTCCACCCAGCTGGACAGAGAGGAAAAAGAGAAATACAGGTACACTGTCAAGGCAGTAGATTCTGGATTGCCCCCCCGAGAATCAATAGCTACTGTCACCATCACAGTACTGGATAAAAATGACAATAGTCCTAGATTTATCAATAAGGATTTCAGCTTTTTTGTACCAGAAAACTTTCCAGGTTTTGGTGAAATTGGAGTTATCAGTGTCACAGATGCTGATTCAGGGCAAAATGGATGGGTTGCCCTTTCAGTTGTAAATGGAAGTGATATTTTTGTCATAGATACTGGCAAAGGCATTTTGAGAGCTAAAGTCTCTCTGGACAGGGAGCAGCAAAGTTCCTATGTCCTGTGGATTGAAGCTGTCGATGGAGGTGATCCTGCTTTGTCTTCTACTGCAAAAATAACAGTTCTTCTTCTGGACATAAATGACAACCCCCCTCTGGTCTTGTTTCCTCAATCTAACATGTCCTATCTGTTGGTACTTCCATCTACTCTTCCTGGCTCTCCCATCACTGAGGTGTATGCTGTAGATAAAGACACAGGCATGAATGCTGTCATAGCTTACAGCATCATAGGTAGAAGAGGTCCTCGACCTGAATCATTTCGGATTGATCCGAAAACGGGTAATATCACCTTGGAGGAGGCACTGATGCAGAATGACTATGGTCTGTATCGGCTGCTTGTGAAAGTCAGTGATCATGGCTACCCAGAGCCACTCCACTCTACAGTCATGGTAAACCTTTTTGTCAATGACACTGTTAGCAATGAGAGCTATATTGAAAGTTTGTTAAGAAAGGAACCTGATATCAATATAGAGGAAAAACTGCCACAAATATCTATAGAGCCTACACATAAAAAAATAGAGTCAGCATCTTGTGTGCCTACCTTAGTAGCTCTGTCAATAATAAGCTTGGGATCAATCACCCTAGTGACTGGGATGGGCATTTACATCTGTTTAAGGAAAGGGAAAAAGCCTCACAGTGCAGATGAAAATTTGGAAGTACAAATCCCACTAAACAGAAGAATTAACCTACACATGTTGGAGAAAAAACCGATGGAGATTTCGAATATCTGAGGTTTCCATACAGACATTTCAAACGACGTCTAACAAACCCTGGATGATACTGAAACTCCAAATGGAACGTGTGTTGACAGAGATTACAATGAAGGACCACTAATTTATAATTTGATAATAATATACATGTAAATAGCTGTTTACAGTTTTTTAACTTCAAATTCAGTGTACAGCTTTTTTATGAAATCTTAGTACTAACAGCTAGCAATCTTTCTCTGAAAACACGGATATCATTTTCAGCCTTCATAAACCAATCAGATCAGTGATCGCAAAGAAAAAGGAAGGTAAGATGATAATGCATTAAACTTCAGTTTAAAAGTCATTGTAACCACAAGAGGGCTTCAGCTACTCCTGTGCGGGGAACTGTTTGAGGTACTGTCCATGAGACAAATGCAGAGTATATTGTATATTTTAAATATATTGATTATAAAATAAAACATACACAGGCATAGACACATTTACACAAAAGAAAGGTGTGCCCTACTGTATGTAAAGCAAAAAGAATAGGGAAAAGAAAATGCACTAGGAAAACAAAGAGAATGTTTATTACCTCACAAGTAAAGTTTGCTCATTATGAAAGAAAAGGCATTAAAAAGAAGTGCAATTCCTGTGGAGCAAGAATGCAAGATGTTGTCACACAGTGAGAATTTGAACTGCTGTGACATCTAAATCTTTCATTTACTGCAGGGCTATTATCTTTGCACAAATTACCAGTTGCTCCAGCAGTTTACTGGCCATTATCATGGAAAATTGTATTAATAGTACTTACAGCAAAGACAGACAAAACTCTATGCCCCTCTCAATAAGTCTGTGGCCAGATACAAGGAAGCAAGGGAATGGCTAAATCCTTAGCTGTCATGGAATTGTTAATTTTTTTTTGTACTTTCAGCAATCTGTCAGTAGTACTTCATCACTTTGGTTGTGTAATATATTTTTACGTGATACTTCTGAATCTGTTCTGTCAGATGAAAACAAAAATCATTTCATATTATTAGCAATTTTAGGACTTAGTTTATACTGACTATTGCTGCTCTCTGGATTGGTATTTCATGTGTAAGATCTAATTTCTGAGTTTTGGCTCCTACTCCTGGCTCCTTTTTATTGGCTTTGCTTTTGGATCAGATCCAAAATCTTACGTGTAAGACTGGTGACATATTTTCTTGATAATTTATTCTTTGCTGTATCCTCTGCAACAAAGCAGATTTATCAGTGATGTATTACTTTCACTTCATTGTAAGAGCTGGGAACTATCTTTTGTATGATGGTTACATCAAATTTATCTGTGTAAACAAGGTAAATAAGTGTTAAGCTTAAGATTGATTATTTTGATTTTTGGCATCATATGTCTGTACTGTACCAAAAGTGTTTATATGTCTGCAAATTAAAGCTATATATTTTCATAATAATTCATTCCGTCTGTACTAGCATTTTAATGATATAGCTGAAGCTTACTCTTTTTACAGACTATATCTTCTCACATTTATCTGGTCATTTACTGCTCTACTTCTGATGTAATTTATGCCATAATTTTATACTACTTCCAAAACATATTATGCTTCAAAACAGTCATTTGGGGAATAGTCTTCCACCCACTGAAGTTTGTGGCAAGGCTTCAATTGATATAAATGGCACAGAATCAGGTTCTCATTTAACTAATATATGCAGTACATCTATAGATTTACTATATAAAAGTTGACTAATATTTTTCTCCACTATAGGCCCACTGAAATCAGTGTTGTTTTTTAGTATAAGCAAGAGTATCAGAATTTGGCCCATTTTTTGCCTTACTAGCAAAATTTTCTTTCAGAATATTTTTTTAACTAGTTCCAAATATTAACATTTTATTAGACACTTTCCGGACATGCTTTGTTTGTGCACTGTTAGTTGGCTATAGTCCATAAAAAATTAATTCAGTCTGTCAAATGCCTCTGGTTAATCACCTTGTTTTTTTCCTTTTAATATTATTAATATATGAAAATGGTATGTATCCATGAAAATTCATGTGTCAAAAAAGAGACAGCGATTATTATCTCTGAAGAAAAATAGCATTAATTCTTTGAAAATGGTTTCTTTATAGGAGATATATTATGATGTTTTGGTGGGCTATTGCTTCATCCCGGACATATCATTTCTTGAATATAGTGACAGGTTAAGTAAAAGTTAAATAGCATTTTCTGCATTGTTTCTGGGTTTCTGCATTGTTTCTGGATTTTTCAAACTCCAAGTCCATTCTTGGTTCCAGTAAAGTTGATAACAGTTTTATCATTTACTTAAATATAAGCAGGAACAAGACCATAACTTTAAAATCATGGAATCCTGCAATCTTAAAATGGTCAAGATTGTGGGTTTTTCACTCAGGCCTTGTCAACACGCAAAATTGCACTAATTTACTAATTAAAGTGTGGCGTTTTTAGTTTGGCTTAAACAGTTCCTGTTTAATATTTGATTAACTTAGATGACCCTGTTTTAATAATTGTGTGCACAGTCTTTTGCTCCTTGTTTTAATAAATCAGTTTCACTGAAACAAGCACTGTCATAAGTAGATAAGATCATATACTCCTTCTTTGGTGTAAGGAACTTTTCAGTGTTAGGTTATCATATTCAATCTCATGAAAACCCCCTTTTCAGGTAATCTCACTGAAGAAGGTAAATGCTGCAAGACAGGATTCCATTCTTCCTTCCTTTCTCTCTCTCTCTCTCTCTCTTTTGGAAAACACATATTTATATTTTGAACTTCAAGCTATGCAGTAGGCAGCAGGTAAAAAAAGAGTTCCCGAGCTTGCAGCAGTTTGGCTAGTGACGAACTCATCAGTTATCTGAAATTGATGGCACATTACAAGTTTTGCACAGAAAAAGTGCTTTCATTTTCCTGGTGTGTAAAATAAGAGGCCCATTTCTGCAGACCGTGTTGTTGCCAGTGTATCCCTTACAGAAATTCCTTTCATGTGAAAAACATTTTGTAGTGAGTGGAGCTAAAATAAATTAGACTCTAATATAATAGGCCCATTTTACTAACACCTTGTGGCAGTGCACTTGCCAAAGTATATGCAAATCTTGTCAATGTTGGTAGTTGAGCTGGCACAAAAATAAATGTCCCATTCATTAAACAGTCCAATATCCATTGGCCGATTTGGGAGTAAGCGGGTGCTCTTTTTCCAGTTCAGTAAAAATGAGATTGGCCTAAACTTTATGCTGCCAAAGGCCTCAAAGCACTGCAATGCAAATATATCTTTTAATTAGAATTAGCAAATTACAAAAAAAGGACAAGATATGGGCAATAAGGTAAGCATAGCAATTAGTTCAGGTTCTTCCAGTTTATTCTTTTTAAAGAGATGGGAGCCTCATGGGTGTCTGAAGTTTTCTCTTTTTTTTTCTCCCCCCACCCTTTCTTTCTATAATGCAGAATTATCTAATCACTAATAGTCCTAAACCAGTTTTTCTCATCCTTTTGGCCCGCATATAAGATGACTGCTGCAGGGTCAATCGGCAGGCCAGATCAGGCCCTGGGGCTTGGCATCACTCCTTCCCTACCCAATGTGCAAGGATAGGGTCCTGAGGGCCCAACACTACCCTCTGCCTGCCCTGAATGCCAGGATTGGGTTCCAGTGGCCCAGCCGTGCCCTGTACCCTCCCCTCAGTGTGCCTGCACTAGGGCTTAGTGCCACTCCCTCCCGTTTCCCTCACACTGGGATTGGGGCTGTAAGGCACAATGTCACTCTTGTCCAGCTCTGCATGCCAGGATTTGGTGCCCCATCCAGCACAGGGCCCAGCATTCTCCATAGGTCTGGAAATTTGGCAGCAGAGGAGCAGTGCCACCACTTACCTACAGCTAAATTCTTGGACTTGTGGGGAGCCCCACAGGCTGGAAAACAGTGCTGCATGCCAAATCTGGCCCAAGGGGCAGGGATTAAGCATCCAGGTCTTCAAAGATAGGGTCAGAAATAATGCAGTGAAAAATAAAGCATTTTGCATGCTTGATTTTCCTAAGTTACCACCTAAAACACTAATTACTCTAATGGCTTACCTGGGTTCAATGCCCTGATTCAGCAAACGCCTTTGTCTTCTTTGCTGAATCAGGGTTCAACTGTAGGAGTGTGTCTGCAAGGTCTGATCTACAGTTCACTAAAGTCCATGTAACATGACTTACAGCAGGGCTGTCAGACTCACCTGGGCCCTGGGCTCGATCCAGACGGTGGGCATCTTTGTGGGATGAATCCAGCTTGGGGTGTAAGGGCTGTCAACAGCACAGCGGCAGCAGTAGTGAGGTGCTCAGCGGCAGCACAAGCAAGAGTCCAGTGGTGGTAGCAAGAAGTCTGAGGGAGTTAGTCCAGGAGTGGTGGCAGTGAACTAAGCTTACTACTCATGGCCATGCCCAACAGGGCCAAAGAGCTCCAGGTTTTTTGTCAGTCAGTGTCTCCAGACTTCCAATACTCACTGGTAGCCTGGTGGGATGGATAGGCTCCATGGGCTGGATCACTCCCATAGACTGAACATTTGGCACCCCTGACTTAGAAAGCTTTGAAGGAACCTCTGAAGTATGGGAGGGAAACCTAGTCCCTCCGAAATCAGAGATGACAGGGATCCTGGTTTTTTCTGATAAAAAAAAAAACAATTTTTGGATTCAATAAATGAACCCAAAATCCAAAATTAACTATATATATATATAGTGACATTTCATTTTAATAATGGGGAAAATGTGGATTTGGGGTTACTTTTTTAAATCTGAAAATAGGATTTTTTTTTTTTATATCAGAGAAAACCAGGATCCCTGGTGATGAAAATCCCTTTGACTTAGAAGCTGACTTGGCAACTTTGACATACTTAGCACTTCCACTTCAAAAGATGTCAGTGACAGGATTGTCAGGGTCTTTCTTACCCAGAGTTGGTATACTATAGGAGACCTGCAGAAGAGCTTGCATATTGATAGCTATCTGCTGTGTACTGAGTTTGGCACCAATTTAATTTATAAAATCATTTGCCTCAATATACTGTAATATTCACAGAATATATTACAATTAAAATAAAAATATACCATCACCCAAATGAAACTTAACTTTGCTTCGCAGAGGTCTTCTTCTAATAGAGCATATGTAATGTTAAGCAAACGAATTTCCTTTATTACCCAAAATATCTGTCTTTCAAGGAGATGTCTACTGAAATGTTAACAGAAACTACAGGTACTCAGCACCTCTAGAATTAGTCCCATAGCTTAATAAGACTTCCTACATGCATAAGGGTTACTCACATAAGTAAAAGTTACAACATTGAGCTTTATATTTTATTTTAAAATAGTCTTTGATTTAATAGAGTGGAAAATGTTCTATAAGAGGCATTTGGAGACTTCTAGCTTGTTACTTTGTAATAGGCCATTCTGAGTTATGAAGTTTCACATAATTTGTAGCACATAATTTAAAAGTTTATAGGTTATAGTACGTGTAAAAAATACCTGTTCATGCTTCTCCTTCACTCTCCTCATTGGGCTGAAACTGCTAGTAAGAGGATATGCCTCACATTTGAATTGTGATAGAGAAATTCTCTGACTTTGGCCAGTAGTGGGAAACAAGCTAAACTATTAAGGTTTTCAAATTCTAGAACAGAAAGATACTTTACTTCCTGCTAAGAAAGATTACCTGTCCAATACTGGGTGAGCCAACATTTCAGAATTTTTCATTTCAGTTTTAGCTTAGTTTCATCAGAAAGTGGAGTTTAAAATCCAAGGGCACTTTTACACATGGTCCAGGAATGTGTGTGTGGCAGGAGGCGGCAGCAAAAGCTGCTCTAATTAAAGCACTGCCACATCTTGTGTATTAATGTTCCCAAGCTTAAAAATGGCAGCTGGGGCTCATTTGCCAAGCTTTAGTTCAAGCACCCCCTCCATCATTTTTAAGTGTGGGGACACTGATACATGAGATACAGGAGGCTGCTGGAGTGCAGTAATTGGCACGCTCCAACAGACTCGATTAATCAAATCTGCTCTGATGCACTGGTATTGCAGCACATTGCAGCAGCCTCCACACTCGTGTATAGGCACTCCAAATGATCAACCCTTGAATATTTTTAAGAGAAGAAAGAAAACACAGCACTGAACACAGAAAACTATAAAAGAGGGGATAAGAAAACACTGTTCTGAATGAGAGAGATTAATAATTTATGATGCATTCAATCATTTATTTCACTGCCTGTGAAAATAAATACACACCTAGCATTTGACTTGCAGGTTTTCACATCGCTATATTATAAAGCTGGAAAAGAGGATTTTAAGCAGCAAATACTTAGCTCAAATACACTAAAAGCTATAATTTAAACAATGTTCAAGGTAAGACATCTGTTTTGCCTTCTAGATATCTGGTCACATCCAATAAAGGACTTACACAGCTAAAAGTTAAATGCCATAAGGCCTAACTTACA